AGCACTGCCTCCTGCTGCCCGCGGCGGAGCGGTCGTGGGGTCTGAGCGGCCGGGACCGCAGATACTCACCGAGGGGCCCGGCTGCCCGATGGGGCCTTGAGGACCCGTGGGCCCCGGCGGACCCTGTGGGAACAGACAGACACGGCTGCTTCTGGAGCCACAGCTGCGGCCCCGGGAGAGGCCGGCGGAGCAGGTGGGCGTCCGGGTCATCAGCTCCGTGCCCGCCGCGTGGGCCTTACCTGCTCTCCTTTGTCCCCCTTGCTCCCCTTCTGCCCCGGCTCCCCGATCTCTCCCTGTGGGAAGGGGTGGGAGATCCGTCAGCCCCAAACCATTCGGGTCTGATCTGCTCCCCGCGATTCATTTGTCTTGGCGACTGAGAGTAACCGCCTCTCCACAGGGTTCCCAGGAGGACCCGCTTCCGTGTTTTTATTTCCTGTTTAATATGAGAGTTGAAAGCACGAGGCCCCATCTGACGCTACACAGAACCTGAGCCGATTGGAAAAGGCAGTAAAATCCCAATGAAAACATTTACTCCGCCTGTCAGGGTGTCTGACAGCAGCGGACACCTCGATTCTACGCTTGCAGAGAGCCACCCCGTCCCCCCGGGTCTCCGTGGGCGGCTGGCTCCACCACGGACACGCGGCACCGTCTGCAGCGAGCTGACCCCTCGGCAATGTCACCGGGGGTGTGGCATGTGGAATGTTAAGTGGAAGAGCTGAACCCGGCGTCTTCATTAAACAACGTATCAGCTGCCAGCGCCACAGCACGGCGTGGGATCAAGGTATCAGCTGCCAGCGCTGGCCACGGTCACAGCACCGATCAGCAGCCGTGGCCCTAGTGAGTGGGCGGCTAATCCTTCCAGGGCGGTCGTGGTCCAGTGAAGCTCAGTGAAGGGGTGGAATCGGGACTCGGTTTGGGGCATGGACTCCCCGCTCGCTGCCCCCAGCGGCTGGACCCGGCGCGAGAGGGAAGCTGGCCCCACGCTCCCGCGAGCTCGTTAATAAATTACAATATCGATGAGGCCGTCTCAGACATGAAAGGGTACTTGGATCTCGCTTATCACCACTCAGCGTGAGCTATTCCGAAACCACCCATGAACTCAGAGGGAGGGCGCGGTCGCCCTGCCCTGGAGCCCCTGCGTCCCGGCCTCCGACTGGCCAGCAGCCGGCACCGCTCGGGGCAGGAGGGGCCTCGGCTCTCCTTACCTTATCGCCATCTTCTCCGGGGGGGCCCACAGGGCCGGCCGGGCCGGGGAGCCCCACCGGACCCTGGAGACCATCGCGACCAGCGGGGCCTTGTGGGCCTTTCTCGCCCTGACGAGGAGAGAAGACCCACCGTCACACGCAGCTTGTCAGCTCCGCCCCCAGGAGGCCCCGGGCAGGACTCTGGGCAGGACGGTGCCCCGTCCCAGTGGACTTCAGCCAGACCGCCGAGGCCCACCCTCACCACCGCTCCCAAGCAGCACTGCCCCATCCTTGGGGGGGCTGCTTCCACAGAGGGGAAACTGAGGTGCCCATGGTGAGCAGCAGAGCCTGGATCCAAAGCCGGCCCAGCAGGTCCCCGTGCGGAAGCCCCTAAGCCTGGGACCGGGACACTGAGTCCCAGCCTCGCCAACTTCACTAGCCTCGGTTCTCTGCCAACACCCTCCCTGCCCAACATGCATGCACACACGCACACACATTATACACGTGTGCGTGCACACATTACACACACGCACACACACACTCACATTACACACAGTGTACGCATGCACACATGCACACACATTATACCCGTGTGAGCACACACACATTACACACAGTGTCGGGTCTAAATGCCGCCGGCCCTGCAACTGCAACCTCCCCGCGTGCGCCTTTCCTGCCTGTGCCTCCCCGTCAGCTCCCACTGAGCATCTCCCCTCACTGAGCCCCACGCCCAGGCCCTGCCGGGGTCTCCGTGGGGTTCACTGGGACAGGGTGACCGGGGCCCAGAAGAGGCTTCTTATCTTCCCATCACACGTCTCCGCCCTTCTCTCCTCCACACCTGCCCCCGACCACCCAAGGAGGCGCCTGCCCAGAGCCTGGCCCAGATGCCCCAACATGCATGCACACACGCACACACATTATACACGTGTGCGTGCACACATTACACACACGCACACACACACTCACATTACACACAGTGTCGGGTCTAAATGCCGCCGGCCCTGCAACAGGGCGCTCCCCGCGTGCGCCTTTCCTGCCTGTGCCTCCCCCTCAGCTCCCACTGAGCATTCCCCCTCACTGAGCCCCACGCCAGGCCCTGGGACGGGGTGACCGGGGCCCAGAAGAGGCTTCTTATCTTCCCGTCAGCTCCCACTGAGCATCTCCCCTCACTGAGCCCCACGCCCAGGCCCTGCCGGGGTCTCCGTGGGGTTCACTGGGACAGGGTGACCGGGGCCCAGAAGAGGCTTCTTATCTTCCCATCACACGTCTCCGCCCTTCTCTCCTCCACACCTGCCCCCGACCACCCAAGGAGGCGCCTGCCCAGAGCCTGGCCCAGATGAAGGCGGCCCCCGTTTGGACACTGTCCCAGCCCCTGTGCCAGCACGTGTCGGGCACAGATGCGCAGGCGTGACAGGCTGATCTTGCCGGGAGCTGCCCAGCACCCTCCTGCCCAGGAGACCCATGAAAGAACCTGGCCCACTTAGGGCCCAGCCCCCCGGACCTCAGTCAGGACACATCTGGCCCATACACCCACCTGGCACACACTCACCTACCCGAGGACCTCAAACCACCTCCTCCCCCATCCTGCAACCCCCAGGTGAGTGGGAAACCCCCAAGTGAGGGGGTTGGGGGGGTCCCCGGCGCCTCCGAGTGGTACTTACAGGCGCTCCTTTCTCCCCGGCTGGCCCTGGGGGTCCCTGGGGCCCAGGTCTCCCTGGAATGCCAATGGGCCCGGCGGCTCCGGCTGGACCTCTCTCCCCCGGAGATCCCTGGGGTGGGGCAAGAAAGAGGTTCGTTTCCAAGCTCCCCATCTGCACAGACTCCCTCAAGCACTGCGATCCACCACCCCCTCGCTCCAGAGCCCTCAGTGGCTCCCTAGTGCCTTCACAGACTCTTTGGTCCTGCGTTTGGCTCTGCGTTTCTGCCCCCCAACCCGGTAACGGCCTCTCTCCCACAATTCCAAGCACATGCCGCTCCCCGCACCCCAGTGACTGAGAACGTCCCCTTTAAGGGCCTCCTGGAATGACCATCAGTTTAACAGGCAGCAGGTGAGCGCACCTTGACCCCCAGCTCTGGGGTCGGCCTCCCACCTGTGCGGGCTCAGCCCTGCCTCGGCCGCCCCGGGCGTGCGGACAGCCCACCCCTGAGCCCAGCTTAGGGGCCGCGGGCTCCGTCCGCTCCCTCCCGCAGCTCCCGGCCCCTCCCAGCTGCCACGCGGC